GCAAGGGAGAGATTCTCCCGCGTACCCGATTTGCCCGTAACCGGGGAGACCGCATACGCCTTCCTGCAGAAAAAGAGGTGGAAGGGGTTCTTCCAGCTTCCGCAAAAGCATGTTAGCAGGGCGTCCTCGTGCTCGAAGCGCTCGTGGTAGTCCTTGAAATCCCCGTGGCCAGACCTGGCCGCGAGGAGGCGGTGTAAAGAGCGTCTGTCCAACTCTTTTAGTTCGTCGTTAGGCTTGATAGAGACCCCCAACCGGTAGTCTGCATATGATTCTGGCTTGTTTCGCGGCCCACCATGCCTTGAAATCCGTACGCGCCTCCCACTTACGCTCATAGTAGTCCTTGAAATCCCCGTGGCCAGACCTCGCCGCGAGGATATTCCAACCTGGGAAGTATCGAATATGATGTGACTAAAAGTTCGATCAGTCCACTGAAGAACTTCGGACGCTTGCATGAACTTCTTGGTCATCAAATGCTGAGCGTCGCGAGGGTCACCACATCCCCGCCCAGGAGGCAGTCAGCATTGAGGTGTGCCGTGTACAAGTTCCATGGGCCACGTACAGTAATGCATATATGAACTCGTCGGCGATCAACTCGGTCGTTAGTTTTTCCAGGACTTGAACATTATCGTGCACCTCGGACCTACACAGTTCTGTAAGTTAACGTCAGCCGTTGGCCTGGTAAGAGGGCCTAGGCTCAGGCCTACTCACCAGTGTGGACTGTCAGGTAGCAGTTTCTCCTCGGTTTTGCTGTCTAAACCCTCCAACACCTTATTCGTTGCAAACACGTATGCGTTAGCTGTGAATGGGCTATGGCTGCGAAAGTGGAAATAACATACCTTTAACGACCTGCTAAGTACTTCGACAAAGGCATGAAGTTTCTCCCACAACACACATGTAGCCTCCGCCTTTGAATCGTCCTTTTGGGCTTCCTTGGGATCTCTATAGAACCGCAGCTCGTGGTAGAGTACCTCTGAGACTGGCATCGGCAGCGTAACGAAGTAATCGTTGAACCACCAAGTATCCAACATGTAATATCCCGTCTCCTGGCCGCCCCGAATCATGCCGCCCAGCCGAGCAGCTTTGAGGATCAGCTGGAGGGACGTCAATCCATCCAACTCGGGCTTATACGACATTGCAGGGGATTACTACATGGCATACATTGTTCCTCTTGGTAGTGTTCGTACGTCGGATTGTCGGGTATGGCACTATGGTTGGCTTTTGGGCGGGTGATCGGACTCGCGCGCTACTGTGAGCTATAGGCTTCCAGGTATACGTTATGTGCTCTCGATATCCTTGTTAGTAGTGAGGTCAGCATATTAATACTAGTTACGAGGAGGATCGAGATCCGGACATTACTTCGTACAATCATGACAGGATTCCTGGCTTCCTGCCCTCTGGCCATGTGACCGCGGTCATTTGGTCGAACGTCTTCACCCTTGGAGAGCCCGTACATAACAAAAACGTGCAGGTTTTGTATAAGGTATATTGGTCATTGTGGGTGCCGCCGGATTGGATCTTGTGACGGGCCTGTTGTTTTCAGACGCTTCGTTGGCTCGATATTGTCGTGTTGGCCGTGGAGGATGGTGGATTTCGGTGACTTGCTGGCGTGGATCAAGGTCCGGTTGCTCGCCGTTGCCAACGGGCAAAGGGAAGATAGGCGCGCGGCATTGTTAGAAATTTTGTAACGCCGGCTTTGCTCGATTTGATCGCGGGTAAACAATGAGAGAAAAGGCGATGTGAAGGAGGAAGAAAACTGGAGCACAGAAAAAGAGGAGAGCATGACGTGAGGGGTGGGGCAAAGATGGCGACTCATAGGAACCATCTAGTGCTGTTAGTGCATGCTAGGCGCTGTCGGTTGGAGCTCCCAGGCGACGTTGGCCGTCACAGGCGCTGCCAAGGACAAACTAAATGCGTAACACTTATCACCCAATTTAAACTGACCCGCGTTAAGTCCTTAACGTTTGAAAGCCCGCTAACATTCTAACCGCGCAGATTACGGGTTCCTTTTATCCGACTCTTCCTTCCACTATCGGCAACTATACAAAAGATTAATCTTAATAGAACAAATACCCTTCTACCGAAGTTAGATAACAAGAGAACTATCACCTTGGCTACTTAGCTAGTGCACCAACTTCTATCTATTGAGCCGTCATACTACGCGTCGAATACTGGGGCGGTAGAAGACGTCGAGGAAATATGAGATGATGAATAGGTGTTTCCTCTTTTCTACTAATTAACTACTACTATTAACGGCTTTATTGTTATTGTGAGTAGTAGGCATAATAGGAGGATAATGGTGAGTTTAGACTGCAAGGTACAGGAAATGGGATACTATCATAACAATTTCGAGAACGTCGTCGAAGGATACATCGAACATGCTATTTGTGGGAAGCAAAGCATCAATGAGAAATTCTTACATGTCCAGCATAGGGAAATCAACAAAACAAATATAGCATCACTCAACAAAACTCCATCAACCAATCAAACTCTTCCGCTCAATCTTTGCACATCCACCCTCCGTGACTCTCGCCCTTACTCCATCCTCCGCCTCTTCCCTTCCCTTCGATTACCACCATCCTCACTTCCCTCATCACTACCTACTTCCTCCGGTTCAATCTTAATCTGCTTAACAAACGTCTTCGGCCAAACCTCAAATAACAACATCTCGCCTTCCAGCCCACGCACTTCCGGCAAGTTTTCCAACAACTTTAAATGTTCGTGATACGGCCGATATGATTCTGTCTTCACAGCCTTGGCACTGGTAGTGGTCGCACTGGTAGTCTTGGACCTCGTGGCGTGATACCGCCGCTTTGGTTCAGGCTCCGGGTTACGCTCCGCCTCTATCATCTGAGTGCCGCCACGTCCCAACCACTCCTCACACTCCTCATTAACAACACCCGGCATAAGCAAAGCATGCTCAAACATTGACGCCCTCAGTAACATCGCCACGCGATCCCGCACGAACCGGTCCTTGTTTGTCTTCATCACATCAACAACCTGGACATCTCTACCTTTAAGCGACCAGTCGTGCCTGATGAGTGCTTTGGCACTTCCGCAATCATTCCTCTCCAGTAGTGCCCGGCCCTTGTTGGTAGTCTCCAGGTACTCCAGCATGTTACTGTGCAGAAGCATAACCTTTGTTCCTGCCGCGAAGACCAAACCTTTCCGCACGTTTGCTACACCTCCTGGCCATGTCCCTAAGTTGTCACCCACACCTCGGGTGAGCTTTTCTTCGTTTTCCAATTCTCGAAGAACAACCAAGGGGTAGAGTTCCTTTTTGATCTTGTGCGCTATGGTATCGCAGGCTCTGGCAAGAAATTCCATCTGATAGTCTGTGAGCGGCGCTGATGGGAGAGTGCCTCGGTATGAATCGACAGCCAGTGTCAGTTGGAGGAGTGATAAGGGTCGTTTGGCACGAGCCTGGGACATGTTGTACTTGGTGTGGGTGATGATCAGGTTGAGATACGCTGAAAGCGTGTCCAGGCGGTTTTCGGGCCCGAACAGGTAGTTGGGTAACTTGTAATATGATGGCATAGCGTGGAGTTCATCTAGTAGCGAATTGAAGAGAATTGTGGAGTAGGTGATGGCTTGTTGGTTTTCCGACTGTTCGTAATCTCGCAGTCCAGCCTCGCATCCGTCCCTGGCCAAAATGAACGATCCTTGCGATGCGTCTGCAATACTTGCGGCGAGAGGTAGGCGCAGCGGAAGAAGCACACTCTTTAGCCGGTTGGCACAGAACGTCTGGATATCCCCTCGCGTATAATCCTGGATGCGGAGGGTATGAAACATGTAACCCCTTTCCTCCCGACCATGAAGTGAACGATCCCAGTCATGGAACATCCCCCCAGGTCTACTGGCAACACACACCTTGACACCTTTAACTCCTCTCAACTTGTAAACAAGTGGGCAATCCTCGGCTTCCGAGACGTTAAGGAAAGCCGTCTTCTGTCGCGAAAAGCCACTCGGCCCGTCCAAGAAGATGAAGATCCGTGGTCTTACTGGCCTAATGTCTGCCAGGAAGTAGAATAGGGTGTTCTCAAGAGTCTTGAATCTGAAAGTAGATAAGCCTGCTTTGATGTAATCAGGCTTCTGCTGGCTCAGCATCATGTTGTAGGTTTTTGCAAACGCCCGGTCAATCTCTCCAGGAAATTGCCTGAAAAGCTGCAGCAGAATGTTCTGGATCATAGTCAGTTCTTCGCGTTGCATGGAAACTGGGTCCCCACCCCGAGCAAAAATGTGCCAAATGATCATTGGCTTCTCCCGGTCACGACCTCTGTTGCTCGCCGCGCCTCTTGCGTCTGGTTTGAACATGGAGGGTTCTGATCTCGCTTGGCTCACTATGTGTTTCAGAAAAACACTCTTGCCAGTGCCAGGGTCTCCACAGATCCAACATATATTGTTGCTGTAGTCGCGATTTCTGAGCCAAGCGATGAGCGTCTCGTCCGACCTAAGCACCGAACAAGCATTCTTCTTGCGTGTGTCAACCGTTCGATCGAATGTTCCGGGACAAGGCTCGGAAATTCCGCAGAAAACTTCCTCTCGACCGAATAGACTGGGGGTTTCGATGTTTCTTCGCCTGAGGGTCATCGTTGAGATGTCGTGCCGAGTTGAGTTCCGGTATTGATCCATAATATCGATCGGGAAAAGATCAGGGTGCTTAACCACCTTTGAAAACGCGCTGATAGTTGTAGAAATTAAGCCGTCAATAGTGTTCAGATCGTCCAACTTGGTAGGCTGTTCCGGAATCTGGATCCCGCAGGGTTGATCTCTTACGAGCCTTGGATTTATGTTAGCCTCGCAGCCTATGTGCATTTGTATAAGTAATACATACCAAAGTTGAAGCAGAAACCGAGTATCGAGTAGGTTCCTACCGGCTGCAATGGGTAAGGCCTTCTCTTCGCGGGGCAAACGGTGAAGCTCTGTAACATAGGTCCAGGCAGAACGCAAACATTCTTCGGCCAGCTTGGTGATATGCTTTCCATCGTCGTAGGACTTCAATAGTCTGGTGGATTTGTCAAGGTGGTATTCGAGTAATACCGATACAACCCGCAGCTGTTTCCAGAAGTCGTCGTGATCGAACGTCAATCGCGTGTCGGAGATGGCTCCGCAAGCCAGCTGCAGCGCCATGAATGTGCCCAATTCGGTTTTGAGCCAATCCATCATTGGTACGCGCCCCTGTCGGCTTCCTGTGGTCAAGTAAAGTCGTGGGACGTCCAGTACGGGCTGCCTGGGTATTCGTAGTGGTGATCATGTAGTTGGAATTTGTCGGATATCAGGAGAAGTGCGACAACCACGGCGAGATGGAGACACGAGGACTCGAACAACGGAACGAACGACCAGATTGGGCGCATAGCGGTATCCATGGGCCATCAGAGTCCCTCGATGTATCACTCTCCCTTGAACCGTTATCTCTCCTGGCCCAAGTTACGCACGCCCTCCATCTTTTGCCGCACTGGGTACGTTGACGTTGGTCTCGCAAACAACCATTTCTTTGTCTGGATGTACGCGCGAAAA